TCCCAGTCCCCTCGCCCACTCGCTCCAGTGGGTCCCAGCCCCGTCACCCACTCTCTCCAGTGCGTCCCGGTTCCATTTCTCTCTCTGTTCTCTTGCTGGTCTGAATCCTGATTTCCTCTCACTCTGCTATGGAAGCAGTTGTTTCTTGTCCATAAATCTCTTGTGATATTGGTATTAGTGTGTCTGAATATTTGATGAGAGTTGTTTATTGTTGGATTCTTCAAATTGACAGGTACCGAATGTATCGGAAAAACCAGGCAACTGGCTTTCCATCTTTAATAACCATTTTCTCTGCACCAAATTATCTAGATGTCTATAATAACAAAGGTGAGAATTCATTAGCTATTACCATGATATATATTTCTTTGCATAGTCTGCTGTGTTTTCTGTTCATAATGGCTAATTAAGTCTATTACAATGTTTGATCTATGCTGATTCCTTGTCCGGTGTTTGCATTCTCCTTCCCACAGCTGCTATATTGAAATATGAAAATAATGTGATGAATATTAGGCAATTTAACTGCTCCCCTCACCCTTACTGGCTTCCAAACTTCATGGATGTCTTCTCCTGGTCTCTGCCCTTTGTTGGCGAGAAAGGTAAGGCATGTTTGCTTTGGGATTAATGAGGCTGGGCTATATTGTTGCAGGGAACTCCGTGTTTCAGAGCCATAGCCTTTAGAACCTGAGAGTGTAGGTGAGGTGGAGCAGAGCATGTGTTGCTGAGAGACAGAAGGACAGGAGCTGGATCTGGTATTCAGGTAATGTACAGGGGGCAAAGACTTGATTCAGTCAGTGTGGTTTTGGGGATACTTATTTATATTGACGGGCAATGAGGAACTGGAATATGGAGATTTTTGGATATTCTGAATTGAAAAGGTTTTGAAGTCATAAGTTTGATGTAGGTTGTTAGCTACTTTCTGTTTAGTTTGAAATAAAGAAACTTTGAAAAGCAAACAAGCAAAGCTTTACGATAGATGAAAGAAGATTTTGTGGCTTTAATTGTGGAGATTGATTTGGGGGGCCCTATGCTGAAGGTTGCCTAGCAATAGCCTCTGAACTGAAGATGTGGTTTCAATACGGAGATAGGTGAGTTAGTTGAAGGAATAACTTCCAAGGAGCTGGTCGCAATAGAGAGATCTCTCTCACTCCTGAAAAAGAGGAAACCAGACAAGCTGCACAGTAAAATATCTTCTCCGAACTGAGGATCTTCCAGAAATCAATATTTTTAAGTTCCTCTTAAATTCTGAATGCTGAACTGTTACTTCTAATTGACTCTCTTCTAAAAGGCCTGATCTAAAGATTCTATGAATGTCAGCAGTGTGATGTTGATGACAGAAAATTGACTGGACTGTGTGAAGTCTTCCCACATTTCTAGCCTTTGAATTCAGACCCTTGTTCAACAGGGGTGTTTTACACCATTGGCCTTTTTATATAACTGCCATTGTCCCTGCAGAGTTGATCTGTCTTGTCTGTCATGTGAATGTGTTTGGGATTAATGGGATATAATTCAATTCTCTACAGTTGAGGGCAAGTTTTGCCATTTGTTCTAAGAATAATGTTGCTTCAAACAAACAAATTATTTTAAAGCCGTGAGCTCTGCATGGCTGTGTGATACTGCCTGGCCTTAATTGTGTCTGCTTTGTCTTGCAGTTACAGACATGCTGGTCAACATCCTGAACATCTGTACTGACGACGAGCTCCTGGATGACGAGGATGGTAAGTTTGAACTGAGTCCAGTTCCTTTGGTCACATGCTGGGTGATGGAAGATTGCAGTTGGTCAGGGGCTGGTCACGATTCATCCAGCTTTCTTTCTCCCTCTTGTTGTGCCTGATGTCAGTAGTGAGGGAGAAACCAACTTGTATTAGTATGGAGGTTTTCATGATCTCGAGTCATTACAAACCACTTCACAGTGATTGAAGTGGTTTGGGGCAGCATGGTGGCTCAGTGGTTAGCACTGCTGTCTCACAGCGCCAGGGACCCAGGTTCGATTTCACCTTCGGGCGACTGTCTGTGTGGAGTTTGCACATTCTCCTCATGGGTGGGTTTCCTGCGGGTGCTCCGGTTTCCTCCCACAGTCCAAAGATGTGCAGGTTACGTGGAGTGGCCATGCTAAATTGCCCATAGTGTCCAGGGATGTACAAGCTAGGTGGGTTCGCCATGGGAAATGCAGGATTACACGGTTAGCGTTGGAGGGTGGGTCATAGAACAGAGAACAGTACAGCACAGTACAGGCCCTTCGGCCCACGATGTTGTGCTGAACTTTTACGCTAAACCTAAGGTCTATCTAACCTCCACCCCTACCTTATACTATCACCCATATGCCTATCTAATAGCCGCTTAAATGCCCCTGATGAGGCCGACTCCACTACCCTCTCCGGCAATGCATTCCACACCCCTACCACTCTCTGAGTAAAGAACCTACCTCTGACTCCTCCCTTCTATCTACCTCCACTCACTTTAAAACTATGCCCCCTCGTAATAGCTACCTCCATCCAAGGAAAAAGTCTCTGGTTGTCCACTCTATCTATACTTCTGATCATTTTGTACACCTCTGTCAAGTCACCTCTCATCCTTCATCGTTCTAAAGAGAAAGGCCCTAGCTCTCTCAACCTTTCCTCGTAAGACCTTCCCTCCATTCCAGGCAACATCGTCTGCACCTTTCCCAATGCTTCCACATCTTTCCTATAATGAGGCGACCAGAACTGGACACAATACTCCAGATGTGGCCGAACCAGGCTTTTGTATAGCTGGAGCTTAACTTTACAGCTCTTGAACTCAATCCCTCTATTAATGAAAGCTAACACACCATATGCCTTCTTAACAACTCTATCCACGTGGGTGGCAGCTTTCAGGGAACTGTGAACATGAACCCTAAGATCCCTCTGCTCCTCCACACTGCCAGAATCTTTCCATTAACCCTGTATTCTGCTTTCAAATTTGTCTTTCCAAAATGAATCACCTCACACTTTTCAGGGTTAAACTTCATATGCCGCTTCTCAGCCCAGCTCTGCATCCTATCAGTGTCCCTTTGTAACCTAGAACAGCCCTCCGCAATATCCACAACTCGACCCATCTTCGTATCGTCCGTGAACTTACTAATCCACCTTTCCACTCCTACATCCAAATCATTTACAAAAATCACAACTAGAAGAGGACCCAGAACAGATCCTTGTGGTACACCACTCATAACTGAGCACCATGTTGAATATTTTCCGTCCACTACCACCCTTTGTCTTCTCAGGGTCAGCCAATTCTGAATCCCATCTGCCACATTTCCCCCTATCCCATGCCTCCTTACTGTCTGCACGAGCCTACCATGGGGAACCTTATCAAATGTCAGGGTGGACTTGATGGGCTGAATGGCCTGCTTCCACACTGTAAGGATTCTATGAAGTATTTTTGCCGTGGAGTCACTGACGAAATGTAAAAAACACTTCAACCATATTGCGCATAGTAAGCTTCTTTAGCAATGTGGCCATGACCAGTAACCTCATTTTAATGACTGAATTTGACTGAGGTTACAATCGGCTTTCTTGCAATCACTGTGTCCTTCAACTGTCAAGCTAAGGACAAAGCAAGAGAGAGGGAAGAGTTCTTTGAAATGGTGAAGAGATTGGAATGGATGCATATTTGTTGTAAATGCTAAAGTGAAGGCTCGAATCTGGGCTCTGACTCAGCTGACCTCTCCTGTGCTTTTCCTCTCATTGTGAGCTTGCTACAAGTTCTGTTGTAGAGGAATTTACAGTGTAAGTTCTGATGGCCCTGGATTGCACTTTGAAGATTGTGTTTGCCACCGTCCACAAATCCTAGGCTTCTGTGTGACCTCCTTGGGCTGACTAGGTCAGGGTTCTGTGGAGCGTAATGATAGCTTTATGCACCTCTCTATCTCAGCTTTGCAGAATGATCGCAAGGAAGTTATCAAGAACAAAATCCGTGCAATTGGCAAGATGGCCAGAGTCTTCACTGTTCTCAGGTAGGCTGCCTGATATTCATGACTTCTCAGTGGCTAGAAGTGTGCTGTGTGCCTGCTGTTTGACAGTGTGTGCTGTGCCTTCGTTCTGAGATTTTTTAGCAGCTCTGTAAGGTTAATGTTTCTATTGGTTTGTTCTCTTCACAGAGAGGAACATGAAAATGTACTGACGTTAAAAGGCTTGACTCCAAGCGGCACCCTGCCTTTAGGTGCCTTGGCAGGAGGAAAACCAACCTTGGAGAAAGGTTAGGAAAGTTATTGTGCAGTATGTGCCTTCAGGACTGTCCCTCAGGAGCACAGACTAATGGTTTCCATCCTAAACACTGTATGCATTCTTTCCCCCTCTCTCTCTGAAACACATTGAACCTTCCTGCTCCCTCTCACAGTCATCCTTCCCTCTCCAGCCCCACCCTGTTTGAAGCACCTCACCACATCCTCGGAATGTAGTTTCTCTTTGCCAGTGCTTTAGTTGGAAATTGGAAAGTTGAAGCAACCCAGTTGGAAACAGAAACCAGCGGTGCCCTGAAGGTTCATTGAAATTGGTGAAATTGGTCAGGGAGAAATTCCCTTTCCTTTTTTCATACACAATCACTGTGTATTGATCCCTGCTCCTGGTTGTAATTTTGTGATGCCCTAGTTTGAAAGCTGTGGTCCCAGTGACACGCCCTCAGTGTGATAAATTCACATGTTGGTGTGACATTTCCTCCCAGCCCCAGTTCAGGACTTCTGCTTTATGGAGGGTGTGGGCTGTGTGTCTGGTCCAGACTCATTCAGTGATCAGGTCATCAGCACTGATGCTGAGAAAGTAAATGGAGCCATGAACCCAAACAGGAACCTGTGACTGCTGCCTTCATATCCTTAGTGAGATCGGCTGGTAATGCGGCCCCTGATATTGATGCTGCCTTGTTCCTCAGTCAGTCTGTGTTCCAGATCATTCACAGGGAGGGTCAAGTGCATGGGTCTGGGTTGCTGGGTGGAACAAAACTCATTTTGATCTTGACTGAGTTAGGAGCAACGTGTCATTGGAACAATCTGATCAGTTACCTAACTGTGTGTGACATGCGCAGAATTTACTGATCATTGTGTAACTCTTTGCAAATTACTGGACAAGCCCCCAGAGTGTATTGATAAGCTGCATCGTATTCATGAGCTGAGCTGGTGATGAATTGTGTTGTAAAAGTTCATTGGTGTGTCACGTTATTGACTTCTGTCTCTCTTGCTCTCTCTCTCTCTCTCTCTCTCTCTCTATCTCTATCTCTCTCTCTATCTCTCCCTACCCCCCCATGCTGATGTTCATCTTTACAGCAATGACTGATGCAGTATCCTCTAATTCAGGTATGTGTTAGTATGTTGGCAGTTGTGTGTTCTCCCTCATGACCACATCCCAGTTGCTTGGTGTGTAAGCCAAACAGAATATTCAGCCACACTCAACTGCTGAGTGTTGGCGATGAGTGTAAGTGTCCCTGGCTGCTGCTGCTTTTTCCTGAACTTCATGTTTCAGGAGGAACAGCGTCTGCACACAGCCACAGGTTATCCATCAGGTGAGAGGCCTCATCTTTCCTGGCTGCAGTGGCCTTAGATTTTCTAACTTCCAAAACTGCAACAGGCAAAAGGAAATTGCTGCAAAAGTGTATTGGGTTTTTAACTTTACTTCTTCCCTTCCCTTTCCTTGGGAAATCGGGTTAGGTGATATTATTGTCCATTGCTTCTTGCCCTGAGGATATGAGAATGCCAGTTGGAGCATGTGGGACTGGAGTGGATTGTCAGCCCAACTGAATTGATTGATTGATTGATTTGTATTGTCACGTGTACCAGAATACAGTGAAAAGCTTTATTTACAAGTGGTACAGGCAGATCACAGCAAGCAAAGGATGTATAGATCAAAAAGATTTAGAGGCATACAGGTTACGTTGGCTAGAGCCCATTCAACAGTCTGATAATGTCCAGAAAGAAACTATTCCTGAACCTGGGTAAGGATGGAGATTCCATTGACCACAGGATGTCATTGAGCAGCTGACTGCATGATGCCACCTCACCAGCTGTAGGGAGTGAACTTGAAACTACACCATAGGATGATCCGACTAGGCTGGTCTTGAACTGCGTCACCTGAGGTTATCACACCAGAGACGTAGCTCAACATTACTCAGTCTAAAATCTGCTTTTACTAAGTACAGCCAAAGGGATTTTTTTTCTGAGTTATCCACAGAATCCATACAGTGTGGAAACAGGCCTAACAAGTCTACACCGACCTTCTGAAGAGCATCCCACCTAGACTCACCCCCACAATCCCTGTAACCCTGCATTTCCCATGGTTAATCCACCTAACTGACACATCCCTGGACACTATGGGCAATTTGGCATGGACTATCCACCTAATCTGTACATCTTTGGACTGTGGGAGGAAACCAGTGTTGGACTCTAGTTCCTCTCTTCCTTGGAAGGGAGTTTCAAGGCTTTTGAACCATAACACTGAAAGAACAGAGATGTAGTTCCAGGTCAGTCTGATACTGTGCTTGGAGGTTATGGTCTTCCTACATACCCATTGCTCTTGTCCTTCTCAGTGGGACAGTTTGTGGGTTTGGAAGGGACTTTTGGGAGTTTCACTACATGTTGGAAGTCAGGACTGCTCCCATTCTAAGTGAAGCAGCTAGGTCGGAAATGGTTATTTCCATGTTCCTGGAGGTTTAAATCCTGGTGCCACAGTAGTCTCAGTTTGGAAAGGGAAATTAAGGCCACTGTGCAATTGGAATGAAGTATAGTTCACCCTTTCTGAGAATAATGACTGCATTTTTCATGTATGCTAGTTTGTCAGTTATTAACTCTGCACTTACTGTGTACTTTGATTTCCTGATCTCATTTACGACTATGTATAAAGTTAGTAGACATTGCTTAGAGACAGTAAGGACTGTAGATGCTGGAAACTAGAGTCAATAAACGTGGAGCTGGAAAAGCACAGCAGGTCAAACAGCATCCAAGGAGCGGGAAAGTCAACGTTTTGGCCCGAAACTTACCTGCTCCTTGGATGCTGCCTGACCGGCTGTGCTTTTCCAGCTCCATTTATTGACTATTACTCATTGCTGTGTAACTCCTGACAACATCAGCTTCAGTTGTTCTTTTTTCCAAAATGGTTTTCAGACATCAGGAAGAGCTCTTGTCTATTAAACCTGGTTCCCTGATTGGATTTAGTTCCTGTTAAAGTTTAAATCTCTAAATAGTCATTTAAAGCCAGTAAAATAAAACAAAGGACTGCAGATGCTGAAGATCTAAAACAGAAATTGCCGGTGAAACTCAGCAGGTCTGCAGCATCTTTGTGGAGAAAACAGAGTTAATGTTTCGAGTCCAGTGACTCTTCATCAGTTCTGATTTTTCCCAACTGATGCTGCCAGATCAGCTGAGTGTCTGCAGCCATTTCTGATTTTTTTAAAACATAAAACATCTATGCCTGTGCATACTCAGCCAGTCAACATGTTGTGCTTAAAATCTCCAATCCTGCATTTACTCGTGGGCCCAGAGTTAAGAGTATCTGCAGGGGCCTGTGTTCTTTGGAATTGCTTTCAAACAACATTAAAACGGTAAGTGCGAATGTGGATCCACAGCTTGTAACCAAGGAACAAGTCAATAGATGCGTCCTCAACCTGGAACCAAGTTCGGATTTATTTTGAAGCATTCTGAGGAGGTTGAGAGCTGTTGTCTGTAATTGCTGTGCTTTGTGGAAACTCCAGGGTACTTCCCGTGTCCTGGATAACACATGCATGGAAGATACCTCCAGCTGCACAAACCTGAGCAAAGAGAGAGCTGGGAACCAGTGCAAAACATACAGAAAGCTATGAATCTTCTGGTGTGCATGTTTTAGAATGTCTTCTGCTTTGGTTGTGCCAGTATCATGCAGTTAGTTCCGTAATTAATTGAGGAATAGGTATTGGCCAGGATGCCAGGGAGAACTCCCTGCTGCTGTTGTTACAGTGCCATGTAATCTTTTACATTTACCTCAATAGGCAGATGCAGCTTCAGTTAGCATCTCACCTGAAAAACAGCACCCCTGTCAGAGTAGGGCTCCCTCAGGGCTGCTCTAGTCTACGACCCTTGGTATTTTGAGCACTGAAGCTGGAGTGGGACTTGAACACAGCACCTTCAGATTTGAATCAAGTTTCCAGTCTCGAGTATCAGTGAGAAGCATGAGAGCTCAGGGCTGGGGGAATGAAGTGCACTCTCATGGCACTGTGCGGCAGTTGACCACATGCTACAGCACAGCTCTTGTGCTAGAGGCTTGGATGGAGCAGAAATTGTAAGGACCATTCAGGAGGGTGTCTTGACACAATATGTAAACAGTCCATCCAGGGGAAGGAGTTATACTGGACCTAGTTTTGGGAAATGAGCCAGGGCAGTGAAGTTCCAGTGGGAGAGTAGTGACCATAATACCATGAATTTTATAATACTCATGGATAGGGATAACAGCAGTCCTCGGGGGTAAGGTGAACTACAACAATATCAGGCAAGAACTGGAGAGTGTTGATTGGAGGCAGCTGTTTGAGGGTAAATCCACATTAGTCATGTGGGAGTATTTCAAAAGCCAGTTGATAAGAGTTCAGGAGCAGCATGTTCCTGTGAGAATAAAAGATATGTATGGCAAGTTATGTGAACCTTGGATGACTAGGGATGTTATGACCTTGGTCAGAAAGAAAAAGGAAACATACATAAAGCCTAGGAGGATGGGAACTGACAGAGCCCTTGATGTATATAAGGAAAGTAGAAAGAACTTAAGCAAGAAATTAGAAGGGCTAAAAGCGGTCATGAAAATTTGTTAGCAGGCAAGATTAAGGAGAATCCCAAAGCTTTTTATACATATGTAAAAAGCAAGAGAGTAGCCAGGAAAAGGGTTGGCCCACACAAGGACAAAGGAGGGAATGTATGTGTGGAGCCAGAAGAGGTAGGTGAGATCTTAAATGAATACTTTGTTTCGGTATTCACCAAAGAGAAGGAATTGTTGGAGGATGAACTCAGGGAAGGGAGTGTCAAATTTCTAAGCCAAGTAGCTATTAAAAAGGCAGAGGTGTTGTGCATCTTAAAAAGTATAAAGGCAGGTAAATCCCCAGGTCCTGAAGGGGCCTATTCCAGAATATTGAGGGAGGTGAGAGAACAAGGTGAGGTCCTAGAGCACTGGAGAATCACTAATGTTGTCCCATTGTTTAAAAAGTGTAACGAGGTAATTCAGGAAGTTACATGTCTGTGAGCCTCGCGTCAGTTGTAGGGAAATTATTGCAAAAGATTCTCAGGAACAAGATCTGTACACATTAGAAACAAATGGACTGATTAGCGATAAACAACATGGTTTTGTGCGAGGCATCAAGTGCCTCACTAATTTGATCGAGTTTTTTGAGGAGGTGACAAAGACAATTGATGAGGGAAAACGGTTGATATTGTTTACATGGACATCAGTAAAGATTTGATAAGGTCCCTCATATGACAAACTGGTACAAAAGGTGAAGTCACATGGTATCAGGGATAAGCTGGCAAGATGGGTACAGAACTGGCTTAGTCATAGGAGACAGACAATAGCGATGGAAGGATGTTTTTTGGAATGGAGGGTTGTGACCACTGGTACTCCACAGGGATCTGTGCTGGGACCTCTGCTGTTTATGACCTACATAAATGATTTGGAGGAAAATGTAGCTGGTCTAATTAGTAAATTTGCAGATGACACAAAGGTTGTTGGAGTTGCAGATAGTGAGGAGGATTGTCAGAGGATACAGCAGGATATAGATCAGTTGGAGGCATGGGCAGAAAAGTGGTGGATGGAGTTTAATCCAGACAAATGTGAGGTGATGCATTTTGGAAGGTCAGGTGGAAGTCCAGGTGGAAATTATACAGCGAATGACAGAACCCTAAGGAGTATTGATATGCAGAGGGACCTGAGTGTGCAGGCCCACAGATCACAGAAGGTGACAGCACAAGTAGATAAGGTGATAAAAAAGGCCTATGGCATGCTTGCCTTCATTGGAAGGGATATTGAGTATAAGGATAGACAAGTTATGCTGCTGCTTTAAAGAACTTTAGTTAGGCCACACTTGCAATATTGTGTACAGTTCTAGTTACCACACTACCAGAAGAATGTGGATGCTTTGGAGAGGGTACAGAAAAGGTTTACCAGAATGTTGCCTGGTGTGGGGGTTTAAGCAATGAGGAAAGGTTGGATAGACTGAGTTTGTTTTCTGTAGAATACAGGAGATTGAAGGGTGACCTGATAGAAGTTTATAAGATTGTGAATGGCATGGATAGAGTAGAAAGTATGAAGCTTTTTCACAGGGTGGAGGGATCAATTACAAGGGGACACAGAT